ATAGGTTTTGAAGAGCCAGAAAAACAGCGTTTCAGTAAGCCCGCAGTTGACATGTTTTTGTACGGATAATTTCACAGCGATATTTTTGTGGTAAAGGTTCTCTCGTACGGTTTGAATCAAATTGTTTTGTTAACTTAGTATTTGTATGTACCAACCTGCTTGAATGGGAGCATACGCATCATCGTGCGGACGACAACCGCTTGGGTGAACATTAATGATTTTAGGAATCCTCGCTTTGAACGAAAAATGGTGTACTAACACAACAATCGCTACACAAAACATGGCAGCCTACATAAGCATCATAAAGTAATTAAGAATTTAGCACGTATGTCAATAATGCACCTCCTCTGGACGGAGCCAAATACAAATACTACGGAAAGCAAATACTGGGTGATGACTTTTCCTTATGCGAGCGGTTTGATCGCGGAAAGCATCAATCGATCTAGAATGTTCTCCTACTATTGTGGTTGAAATGAGCGAAACCCCGTTTTGAGTACAGAGTGGAATTCTGATATATAGCCCTTACAAACTCAGTTTTGTGCACAAAATAAAATATCGCAATGAAAAGTACCGGGGATGCTAAAGACACATACTTTCTCCCTGACGATTAGAGTTGAAAGCGCTCTTCATTCATTTTGTTTAACAACAACACGATGATAACGCATAGAATAACTGCACTTTCACGAAAGAGAAACAATCAAAGTCGACACTTTCACGAAACCATTAAAAAGCATATTTTTATGTTTCAAGAAATTGTGTAATAGTCTTGAAACCTTAGGAAACAGATTCTACGCTTTCAAGGAACTATAAATAAGACCAAGATGTATTCTAAAATTTGTAAAAGAGCTTCCAAGCTTTTTGCAAAATTTGAAAGTAGTTTCTTGAAGCTGAGGAATACGGTGCTACAGGACATAGGTTGCATTTGTTGTCCCACAACAAATACAGCATATGTCGAAAACCCCTCAAAACGCACAGACAGCAGTTGAACTTGGCCTTACTGGTCAGCTATGTGCCCAATTAGTACAATGAGAGGGCATACAGAAACTAATAAGTTAAGGGTCTTGGACGGTGTGCTCAGCGCACTGACACTGGAACAGCTTTCGGTTCGTTTTGCTGTACAAAACGTCTGTTCCTGGAGAGGCGGAATACCGAACTTAGCAAATATCCCCGGGCGAGGAG